AATATATGTACAGCACGGCTCGAGCATGAAATGTATAATATTGTACACTAGATAGTAAAGTATAGACACGAAACTCACTCACGTTCTTTTCTACTTATAGCCACTGAGGCTGTACCTCAATGTAGTACTGTTCATCCCGCATGAATATATGGAAGCTGATACTATACCGGAATCTTTTCTCCAATCGACTTCCAGAAGTCGCACCTCTCCTTCAACAGCACCAGTTCCGCAGTCTTGAATCCAGTCTCAGTTACAACAAATTCATCGCCAGTACTCAGGAGCATCGGCACCCCGGGCTGCGACGCATTTGTCAACTTATGCGCGTTGGGATCCCCGGTTTGAAAAAACTGGCGAAGGCACCTGCGTAGCCCTTGTATATTAATTCATCCGTCTGTTGGATGGGGTTGACTTGATTCCACTAAGATAGCTGTCAGTAAGATCTTTGCGACGACCCATATCTCAAAGTATACAGATACTATGGACTGAGAAACACCTACATAGATGGTATCACTGGCGTGCTGCGCAGGCGGGATAGTATATTCACCCACATATCCGGCAGTTTTGGCTGCCGATGCTATCCAATACGCCGGACAAGCGAGGACAACATCCCTGTAGATGAGGCCTGCCCGCACATACGTGGAATTGTACAGATCGAGGGTCTCCGTTCGCCCTATAGAAGGGTAGTATTTCGACTCGACAAGGCGTATCTGCTCGGGAGACAGTCCGGGCAGGAACCCCACCAGCCATTGGTGGAAGCTAGGAATAGAAGAATTGAACCCATCTGTCGTGTTCTGCGAACGCAAGCCAGTCGGCACGAAGTTTTCGCCTTCGTGGGTGTTGTACATCCCGAAGACGAGGTCTGTTTGGAGCGAGCCGCTCGTCACAGCTTCGGTAAGAGTGTCGGAGAGGAACTCGCCGTCGATGACTGGACCCCAGGTGAACGTGCTGGTTGTATACTTCTGGCTTTCGCTGATGATTAGGTTTGCGTCGCGGATGGTCTGGACGTCGACTTCTTTGAGACAGGTGAGTGTATCTGTGGCGTTCGCACAACCGGTCAGATTGGTCAGATGTTCGTAGATCGCCTCTACTTCGGGAGCATCGTAGGCATAGGTTTTGGGCCAGAATGGTGAGCTCGCCAGAGCTTTTGAGAAGAGCTTTGGCTGTTTGCCCCGGCCGTTTGCTAGCACCTGGGCGACGACTGAGCCTCCTCCAGCGGATTGCCCCCAGATGGTGACATTGCGAGGGTCACCACCGAAGTGATGGATGTATCTCTGAACCCACTTCAGAACAGATTGCTGGTCCAGGAGCCCCGGGTTTAGATCCGAACTGGGTGATTCTTTGACCGCTCGTCCCGGGAGAAAGCCGAACGCGTTCACACGGTAGTTGGAATAAATGACCACATAGTCATTCAGGTTACTAGCATTGAGGACGGGGTAAGACGACGGCGGTAAGGTAAAGGAGGCACTCCCTTGAATGAAGCCACCACCGTAAAACACCACCAACACGGGCCGTTTGAGCGAAGTTGTGGAGGCGGAGCGCACATCCCAAGGTCGCGAGAACAGGCCGAGGTATAAGCAATCCTCAGAACCGTTCACAGTACGTTGCGGACACATGTCAAAATCCTGATCGGTATCGTACACATCGTCGAGTATTCTCAGGGGAGGCTGAGGGGCACGAAAGCGATTCTCTCCTGTTGGCGGGGCTGCGAATGGAATCTTACGGAAGTACGAAAGGTTATATGTCGAGTCATATCTGCCCTGGAATACTCCATAGTCGAGGCTGATGAGAGGATTTTCGTAAGCTCTGGCAACGGAGGTCGTTAGAAGGAGATAGAGGGCAAGCAGATGGTGGATGAGGAGCGCCATAGCTGACACAGGCTCTTCTCACCAAGACGATCAACGCATACGGAAATGATAGACATGCCCACGAGCTCTTTTATACTCACCTTCAAAACGGCTCTGTTGCAAGATCGGTGGGAGATATACCGAGAATCGCATTTGCACACAAGCGGGTAAGATACGAAGGGACTAAAGCTGGAGGAACGGAGACACAGCGGAACGCCATTGGTGCAGGAATTCTCTCCAGCTTCCATTAAATCTCCATACGCGGAGTCGAATAAATGCGGGGAAGAATCACCAAGAACGAAGAAGTCTCCGTCTGTTTTGATCCAGTAAACCCGATGTTTTCTTGTGGAATCCTAATATGTCTGTTGTACACCAAAGGGACTTGAACTTGCCCCGATTAATGATATGCAAGAGGTCGCTCCCCCCCCCCCCCCAATCGTGATCTTGTTCAGCACGAATAACAAAATTAATAAAAGACAGACTTAAAAAAAAGAAGATAAGGGAGATCTATACATCATAACCAGAAGAAGCAACTGGCAAAGGGAAAAGGAAGAGAAAAGAAAAAAGGGTCATCTAACCGTCCCAACAAGTCCTATCAATCGCACCATGCCCAGGTATAAATCAAACGCCAACTGCAATGTAAAGAGGTACCCGAAACTCCTGCTCAGCATCCAGCCCTTGCCTATTAATCGATTACACATCATCATCATTACATGGTCATCCGGAGTGAACGAGTCCGTCTCCTGCTCGCTCTAGTGTTGCGCCGGTCATCGCACGCTTCACTGTCGTCGGTCTCTGTTCGTGGCTCAAGTAATTCAGGGGTGGGCGTGACGCCGAAACTGACCCCACGATCTTTGCGAGAGACGCGAGCTTCTTCATCCGGGTACAAGAACCTGTGAACAGTCCGATGATCCATCACTCGCTCCTCCTCATCCATTGAGCCCTCTTTATCCGTCTTTGGCCAGCGGAAACCGTATAGCATAGAATGACGCTCGCAGCGGGGACACTCTCGCCGAGTGAGATATGAATTCTGCTGTACAAACCAAACATTACAAGTATGGCAGTCTACCCATCGATCGTAGGCTTGGGCAAGCAACTTGGAAGTTTTCGTGTAGTCACCAGGGACCCGAACACGGTTCGACTCTTCCTCCACCGATGGGACAACGCCATGCTTCCAACGAGAACCCCTCGACCTCTTCGGCTTCTGGGGAGTGTCAATTAAATCGGACAACTCTGACAACGTGTCGTTGTCAGTTCCCGGTAGGTGTCGGTCGCTGTGGGACTGGCCTGTGACTGAAAGTGTAAGATGAGTTGCTGTCGTCGATGCTGATTCAGGGAGGGAAGTCTCCACCGTTTCCTCCACCTTGATCTTGACATCACCCATTGAGGTTGGTGTGGTTGACGTTGACGAGCGTTGTGACTCGTCGACCTCGAGCGAAGTAGAGGAGTCACAGTCAGTAGCAGGCACTTGAGTGGCTTCGGCAGCAGAACCGCTTGCAGGTACAATAGCATCCTTGGTTATACTTGCGGCTCCTGTGGTTTCTAGCACAATTGAAGTCTCTGCTTGGGGCGGTGGATTGTCCGACCCCGAACCAACAGAAGGAGCAAAATCTGCGAGCGATACTGCTGATCGTAATTTAGAGCTCTGTCGTGTAAATTTACTCCTCTTCCTAGGAGTGCTCGAGGGTGAGATATCGGAATCACTATCCAAATGGTGCTTGCGCTTTCTGGGTGAAAGTAGGCAGTCGTTGGACATCGCTTCATCGTTTAGAGCTGGAGTGGACGCTTTGCTTGACTCTTCCTCGGAGTCAACATGAGACGCCCAGCCATTGCGGACTGCCCGTTCGCATGTAAGGCAAAGACACTCGCAATTGTCGATACCGAAGTAATCGCCGCCGTATGAAACGGTGATCTCTTCTCCAATGTAGATATCTCGAGTGGCAACAACTTGCATACCCTCCGATCCCCGTGTCACCAATCGGCCATTGGCATTGCAGTCATGGTTGGCAAAGCGAGCGGGTCCGAGAAAAAACGACGGCGTTTTTCTCCGACTAGACATGACTATGCTGAAATCCTTCCGCTTCAGATCCAATTCTTGCTCTTCTTCGCGGGTCATGGGAACAAGCGTCCCACTAAGGTACTTGATCTCCTGGCCCTGTTTGATGAATTTCCTGGCACAGATGGCCGCCTCATGTTCGGTAATCGTGTAGCGATTGGTCGTGGTAACTTCGAAGGGCGAGTCAGGGAGATACATTTGGATGTACTTGCGCAGATGCCGGCGAAACCATTCCTTTTCGCGGTCACTGGGCAGCCTGGCCAAGTATTTCTTCATACCTGACATTGCTAGCAATTGCTTTTCTGCTTTCGCAGCGTCCTTGGCAACAATGACATCGTGAAGGAGAATACGAGCCACATCATCCTCATGTATCCCTCTCACGGGAATATATTTCGTTCGGTTTTTGCGGGTATTGGTCCAGAAATATGCCTGCGATATGGACCATGTTAGTTACAATCCAAGAAGAGTGTCTCTGAGTAAGATGGCGTACCCGGTCAACCAGCGCATCCGTCGCGACATCGTCATAGCTGGCCAACTTTGCAAGAGTCAGACGGTCGCGACGCTCCACAGAGGGACTGTCTCTTGCTTTCGACGATGGCATGTTAATCTGCAAGATCACAAATTTCCCATGTGAAGAATGTTTGTGGTGTGGTGAAAATTTTGTTTTAATTGGTGGGTGTTAAAATGATGTTGGCTCTATGTCAAAGGAGGAACACAGTAGGAAAAGCGGGAATACTATTAACACCAAGGGGGGGTTGACTTTCGAAAAGAGCGTGATAGTGAAACAATTATTAGAAAGGATAAGAAAAATCCAATTCAACAGGCATAATGGAAAGGAAGAAAAGGAACCCCTAGGGGAAGTTAGCGCGCACGAGTGGGAAAGTGGGCGACTATCCAAGAGGCTCCAAGCACGACACACACGGCTGTGTTGCCCAGTTAATTAAATGAATCAATGCGACTTGAAATGAGTTGAAGGCCGCCCTCCTGCAGCAGCAGCGCCCCGTCCGCCGTCTGGGGTCGGTGGTCGGCAAAACCTTTCCGGCCCGGACGTGCTGGAAATCTTTCGGACGGATAAGTCTACCCTTTATCAGATACTTTGGCCGTTCCCCTCAGGGCATGCGATCAAGATGATTCAACTAAAGGTAAACCTGCGATTTTGTCCTCGTCCGAAATTCTGAACGCTCTTGGTTAACAATCACCCGCCAGACGATGCTGAATTGCATCGACAACTCCGGCGCCGCAGTTGTCGAGTGCGTGAATGTCCTGAAGAAGAAGCGGCCAGCCACAGTCGGTAGGTTCTAGATCTCCCTCAATTCTCCCTACCGATACAGCTCTAACGCCGATTGATGTGATGGGGATCAGGTGACCGAATCGTCGTGGTCGTTCAGAAACAGCGGAACTTTGGCCCCGAAAGCTCGACCAACAGTGGTATTGCAAACAAAGTCCGTCGCGGAGATATTCGTCATGCCGTCGTCGTCCGAGCGAAGAAGGAAATGCAGAGACCAGATGGATCTATTGTCAAGTTCGATGACAATGCCTGCGTGTTGATAAACAAGTCTGGAGACCCGATCGGAACAAGAATGAACGGTGAGTATCTGTATCCTGACGCCGCTATTGCCAGGTTCTGACCTAAATCCCAGGAGTTGTGGCTACGGAACTACGAGGAAAGCAATGGTCGAAAATTTTGTCGTTGGCACCGATGCATGTATAATATCCCTATGAAAGCGAAGCGTCTATTTACATAACTACTCTGTATCAATAGAATTATCCCTTGAAAAAAAAACTTGTTTTCTATTACTCGGACATCGCCGTAACTCCATAACCATGCTGAAAAGGACCAATAATGGGTATCGAAAACACGATGGTGACAAAAGACGTTCCAAATCATACGAAAACGTTGCCGCACGCGCAACAGACATAGTAAAGTTTCTGAAGGGTATATGTCAGTCACTCGTCAAAGATGTCAGTCGATGGATCTCTCACCATTCCGGTTTCCGCAGAACGCTGCTGAGACTGGAAAAAGACCGCTTCGGCTTCACCGCAGCTCGGGCAGAGCTTGTTCGACCGGGGAAGCTAGAACGAGAGAGAGCATGTTAGCCAGGGAAATCGCAAGATCACTTGAAATCTCTCCATGACACAAATTTGAGCCCTTTCTCAAAGCATTGGGAATCCCTCATAATCATCTTCGGACAACTCATCTTCAGAGGGCTGGCCGCAAGAAAAACAAGTGATCTCCTCCCCGCAATGAGCACAGAAACCTGGGAGACAAACCGTAGGATCAGATCCCACATCCTGAGTCACACCAGCTGTGTCTCCGACTTGACTGTTGAGCTTGTTTTGATAGACGCAGTATGAGCTTGCGGGCTCGCCGACATGGCAGGTTCGACACGTAAACATCAAACGGTTGTTGACGCGGTCTTCTTTCGGGTAAAGCAAGTTCGAGCTATAGCAGCGCAGTTAGCAAAATCGTCAATAGGAGAGGGTCAAGAAATGTAGCGCCTACCATTCGCGACAAAAACGAAAGTGGACCTGTTCATTTGACTTGCTATCGCCACCGGCGGAAGGAGATGGGCTGGCAGACATTTTTCTGAAAGCTGAGTATCCGACAAGAACTCGCGCAAATAGTTCGATGATAGGTTTTGAAAAGAGATTCGAAAGTAGTTGCAAATTTGAAGGGTTTTCACGCGTCCTATACAGAAATTTTGGTGGCGAAGATAGTGCCTGGTACTAAGAATAATTAATACCTGCGATGAAGTCCGAAGAAGGCCTACAGGGAAGTTGCACTAGTCCCGATCGGAGTGCACGGACACTGCCTTATTGATAGTGTTTGTATTGTTGGCGCTGTTTGCATGCTTTGTGCTGGTCCCTCATTTCCCCCGCAGTCTGTCCCGCAGGAGCTGCTGCCACGGCAATTATTACTTGCATTTATTCTTCGTATTTCCTACAATCCTGCATATCCTGAAAAAGCCCCTTGAATAAAGCTTGTAATTCTATACCACTCTTATCCTAAATCATCATGGTATGCTTTATCTCCTATCTACCTAACTCTCAATCATATCTAAAGCTCTATACTCATTTGAACTCGGCTTTTTCTAGGTTGAGACAGGTCTTCCGGCCGGGTGGGAGGTCCGCCATTCTAACTCCAAGAACCTCCCTTACTATTTCAATCCCACGACAAAGGAATCTCGCTGGGAGCCTCCAGCAGGCACTGATACGGAGACGCTCAAGGTTTACATGGCCAACTACCATAGCGGGCCTACCAGTCGGCCTGATGGCACAGGTCATGGTGAAGGCAAAATCCGCTGCAGCCACCTTCTTGTCAAGCATAGGGAGAGCAGACGTCCCAGTAGCTGGAGAGAGTCTGAGATTACTCGGTCCAAGGAGGAGGCGATTGACATCCTTCGTGGCCATGAAGACCGCATCAAGTCGGGCGAGGTCAGCTTGGGAGATCTTGCGATGTCAGAATCAGACTGTAGCAGCGCCAGGAAGAGGGGTGATCTGTATGTGCATGCATTAGCATTCGTGGACGTGTTAAAATGTGGAATTAACATTATCATAGTGGCTTTTTTGGACGGGGAGAAATGCAGAAGGAATTCGAGGACGCTGCCTTTGCTCTACAGCCCGGTGAGGTCAGCGGAATCGTTGACACGGCTTCCGGTGTCCATCTCATTGAACGGTAAGCTGAATATATTTCTTGTTAATGCATTCGAATAAACTTGCTAACGGTTTTCATCTGTGACATGCAGCATTCAATAAATTTTGTGATCTCCTATTTCGATACCTAAGCATAAATACATCTAGAGAGAAGATCGATACCTGTATGATATACTTCTCTTTCCCCTTTAGCCGGGGACTATATACTACTGAGAAAGACACATCTGCTCATGATATTTTAAATCGGAGAGCGACTATTACTGACGGCCACATGCTGGCAGTCAAGAACTTCCTGCCTTTCAAGATTTTACGACCGCCACCAGCAGTAAATACACCCTAGTAAATTCAGACTTAGTGAATTAATTGGCCTTGGCTGTTGCATCTCACTGGGTGACAATGGTATCAATTACTAGTAACTTGAGATGAAGTCATTTACTATATAGTTAGCCCTCCCGCCGAGTCGACTTTGGATGGCACAGCGATGTATGCACGTTTATTAGCAAAGCCACATCTTTTAGTCTCCATGACAATTTAATTTCTGATAAATTAATCAATCTTGCAACTTTATGGTATATGTACTGCCGTCTTAAAGGACGTTTGTAGGTCCATTCACGAGAGCATTTGCATACTGCCAGTAGTATGTTGCCAAGCTAGGGCATGTTCTAGTCATGTGCTACAGTACTATTTATATACAGTGCCATAGATACCTAGTGCAAGCACAGTCAGAAAGGCTGGTGTATCGTATATATCTATCTCTGTGAATATGATCATATAGTATCTTTGAAGTAACTCGGTAGTAATCTGTTCGTATTATGTTCACCTACTCACGAGGATGTTGTTATTTAGCGAGTTTCGACATACTAGCGTTGGTATGCCGGTCTTCAAGACGATAGAAATAGTATGGAAAGAGATAAGAAAGAAAAGCACAATAGAAGCATGGCAATCACCTCGATAAGAAGCACTTTCGAAATGTAAAGGGGATACAGTAGGGGGGGGATTGGCCCTCCCTGTGTTTTGATCTTCCCAAAGAAGCGAGGGTATTTTATACTTACTGTACATAAATCGTCAGACTGTGGCGTGGACAAAGTACTAGAATTGAACAAATAGATTTTAAATTAGGTTTATAATACAACACACACTAATTGTTGCTGTTTGATAGTTCTATGTAAATTGCAGGCGAAGTAAAGCTGTATTGGAAAAACAAATTTGGCTATGTCTTATGCTTGCTTATGCAGCTTCAAAATATAAATAAGCGAGAATTAACACATCAACATCCAGCATGCATTTAATGATACATTATTACTTTTGCCTAAGATATTGCTAAAAACCTATACAATACAATTATAATATGTGTTGTTTCAAAGCAAAAATATCAAAGACTGTTCTTTCTGCTCGCACTCAGAACACCCTACCAATCCTATCAAAAGAATAGCAACCAAACAACGAGTTGACTACCTAGTCTGATCACAAGTATTTTTGCGATACAACCACCAGAATACCGAAAAGTCGGCCTTGTCCCCAAAAGAGCTAATCGCAGGGTATCATCCGACCAAAATCCCAATACTCAATACTGCATCTCCCAAGCGACGTGTAATCCAGACTAAAAAAAACACTCCTCTAGAACCCGAACCAAACAAGTGCCTGCAAGTGTAAAATTGGGCCAACTTCAAGCACACCGTATCAGAGACTGCTTTTGCTAGCAATGCCATGAGCAGGATTGGCCAACATATCCTCTGCTCCCTCCACGCATTCCAAGATCGCATCGTAGAGCTCATCGACAATCTCCTCCCAAGACGGGATGGCGAGGGCCGTAGCGCGAGACTCCCATTTCTGCATCTCGCCCAGAAAGTTGACACGCCAGAACTGATTCCACATTCTTTGTTCCACCTCGCTCAGGTTAGACTTAGCGGCTGTTGCTTCCACCGCGCGTTTGGCGTCATGCCACACCCGGAAAGGACCAGACATGAACGCATCTTGGTACTTGGCGAAGACTGCTTGATAGCTCTGGTACGCAGACTGATCGATGTGGAAGCAAAGAATGGCCGGGTCGAGCTTCTCGGTGGGAGCAAGCGTCGGGTTTCTCCAGTGGTAATCATGACGCCAGCTGAAAAGACGTAAGACAGACATCTGATGGCTGTAGTAGTTTCTGCTCGTGCGAGGGCACATCGCCTGATAGCGATTTGCCTGGCGGATTTCGATATACTCTAAATATCGAAAGGCCCGGCCAGCTATGAATCGCGCGCGATAGAATGCATCGCGCAGCGCTGTAGGTATGATTGTTACGAGGTGAGCGGGGATATCGAGGTTTTCTTTCTGGAATCCGTAGATGCGCACGGCTACCATGTTGCGTAGGATTCGGTCCACGTTTAGAGTATTGGAGACTCCTCAGTCTATGCTGAAATACGATGTTCAGTGGGAGAGAACATTTCAAATGAGGTGGGGTTGCTAGGAAGAGACCCAAGTTGGTGTATTCACTTTGGCAGCTACCTGCAGTCTGGACCCAGGCAGGTGCCATGGTTTTCCATCTGTCATCACCATGGTGCTGCCCTTTGACGGTCCATTGATGGCATGTGTATTCCGCCACCCCTTCAGTCACTTACTAGTAGTTGTCTAAGCCACCGCTTGACCATATCAGTCCCGTCATATGTAGTTCTTGCCTGTAGTCCTTATCGCTGTGCACGCTCAGATGTGTATCAGTAACTAACTGGCAGATACTCGTCCTCCTGCATAATATTCAAACTCTACTATACATGGAAAAAATTACCTTGCACGACATCGCATCGAACTATTAAGTCAATATTTGTCACGTTTCCGGCCAATCCATATCAGTACCATGTGTGAATGCTTGTCTTGCAAGTTCACACTCTGTGGCTGCATCTTCGACATGGGGTCTATCAACTGCAAGGAATTTCCCTGCTGCACAGGTCGAAAGTTAATACAAACAGAGGAATGCTGTATGTGTGAGGTCTGTTCGCGGAAAGAGGACATGGTGCTTCGACGGGCTGCCCTGGTAAGGAAGCTGGAGGCAAACGGGTTCAGGGCATCTGTGAAGTCCAACAGGATGTCAGAAGATGTGGCCAAAGAGAAATGTATAGAAGCAGATCTGAAAGACACCGAAGAAGCAAACGAATACTCCAGGAAAAAGAGTGGATCGTCTGTCCAGCTTGAGTGTGATGTGTCCAGAGAATGTGCCCCAGTTCTTTTTCGGAGGGGTGTAGAAAGATGCAGGGTCTGGTGAGAAGACCTTCGTTGCTTTGCGTGCCCTATCTTTCTTCGGATGGAAGAGAAGTATAGGTACAATGAATATTGGTGCTGTCTTACGATACTACCAAAAGAGACATACTATACAAGCTTCTTAGACCTGCAGACAAGAGAAAGAAACATCATGCTCGCAACTTAGTTGCTGGAGGTATTATCAACTATGAACTGCTGAACTGCTTAATCCCCAAAGACTTTGAAGTACTACATATTCATACTCTTTCATATACTGGCGTTCAATCGTTCCAAGCGTGACGAAATCGCTTCAATAACAGCAGACCTGGGTAGAATCATCAGTACAAGCTACGCAAACGTCCGACGGCAAGAAAACTTACTCTCGTTCCACCATTTTCATTGCATCTGCGATCTTGGCTCGCTGCAGTCTCTGGGGAACTCTAGGCTGAGCACCTCCAGGTGATGCCGGGCTGCCAGGCTCGGGTACTGGAGGAGCCTTCGCCGCTACAGACTTGGCCTCAGCCAAGAGGTCGGCTGCAATTTCCTTCACCTACAAGGCTTGTCAGCGTCATCGTGTAATACTCTTGATGGAAGAAAAACTCACAGTTTCAAGTCTCTCAGATAGCTGCTGGCCATTATCGCGGCCTTCCTGTTTCGAATCTCCAAACGATTCTGACAATGTCTCCACTTCCGATACCCAGGACTTCTCCTTCTCGCTAAGTGGTCTTCCACCGGACTTTAGAATCTTATTACGAATAGCCTCATATCGCTGCACAAGCTGGTCCTGTTTATCCTTTGCCGCTTGGAGTCTCTTATCCAACGCCTCGCCACTTCTGGAGTTTTCTTTTCGCTCCCCATCTTCACCAATTTCACTCGATACGCCCTTGATTCGCTCAGACACATCAGTGAGTTGCTTCAGTTGCTCCTGCATTTCTCCCTGCAGTCGTTCACACCGACGGAACAGGTCTGATGCTGCTCTCTCCAGGGCGTTGGTATGAGCAGACAGAATCCTATGAGCAGCAGCCACTAGGTCCAACGTCGCCGGGGACAGGCGAACTTGTTCCTTGAGAGTGTGTCGCTGGCGATGTGGAATATGTTTGTCGACGAAGAATTCCAGGGGAGAATCCGAGTAAAAGATGGCGGGAACCTGATAAGGCGGCCGGCGTGGTGGCAATACAGGAGAGCCAGGAACACGGGCATCCGGATTCATTTCTGTCAGTGATGGGAAAGAAACTTCAGGAGTATCCATGATAGCAGCATATGGATGAGAACCATGATAGGTCAGCAATAAGTAGCCGAGATCGTAATCATAATAGACCACCGAAGCGGGGAGATGGTCTGGTTGGTCTTTCGCAGTTTTATGGGCCTCGTCCGTCTGAAAAATGCGTTCTCTTAGAGACACAGTGCCCTCACAAAGAACCTCCAAACGGAAGCCCGAGCACTTGTGTCCTCGGACTGAAGTTCCGCCTCAAGTCTCTGCACCCATGAAGCAAGGGAGATAAACGTCACATTGTTCTCGGTAGTCACGAAGAAGTCATATCTCGAATGCACGTCTTTCGTAAAGGTAGGCCAGTTCTTCGACGATTGTTGTCCTTCCCTCATAGTGTCCAGCGATTCCACCAAGACTAGATCAGACGGCTCTGACAGTGGGGTCCTAAAGGCGTTCTTTCTAGCCCTAGGAAGCCACTGTCCCTCTACCCCATCAAGTTCAAGGCAAAGGTGAACTCTTCCACTCCCTGTAGAAAGACAAATAACTGTGGCCGACAGCCTGTCCTCTCCATTCTCCTCGAGCAAAAGCTCATCCTCCTCGCCCATCATGAGGGCATCGACGTCAACTTTGGCAGCAATAACGTGAAGATCGCAGAGGTCCAAGTCATCGACCTCATCTCCTGTATCAATACGGAAAGGTCCTTGCAGTCTGGGGATCGCACTGGGGTTGGCAGGGCGAGTAAGAATTTCCGAATCTGGACCCGTATGTGATTCGTAAACATGCAAGGGGTCTTGGTTATCAATTTCCGTCAACCACTCGTATTGTTGTCGGCAGGCAGTCAGCTCATCCTCAAAATCAGCGGGATCCTCCTCAAGAGCTGCCAGCTTTGGAACTATAGCCGCGGAGAGCGAAGGAACGGTAGTAGCTGGGGATCTCCATTTGGAGGGAAGTAGTGGGCAAAGGGCGTAAAGGTCGCCCGGTTTCATCGCAACCCACAAGGTCATCGGTGCCCAGGCGTCCTCCTTTTCACTCCCTGTGCCTCCAAAGCAAGCGGATGCGACTTCCATATCAACATAATCAGCAGAGAACCCTTTGTTCTTCCCAAAGCCGGAAGGCGAAAAGTCCTCGTCAGAAGAGGTGCCATCCACCAGCTTTCTCAGGTCGATCGCCAGTGTAGGACGGTCGAAAGACCATTGATTATTTCGGTCCAGCTCCCAGACCCGTACAGCGGCATCTATAGTGATGGTAACGATACATCCTCCAAGGTTGCTGTCCACCCCAAGCGGATGCCATAAAGCTGATACTACAGGTGACTCGGGTATCACGTGGGTTGTAGGCCCAAGCTGGTAGGTCTTCACACGAATGGGCGAGCTGTCAGTCCCAGACAAATGAGACGGATCCGGAAGCACAGCAATATGAACCGTATGGTCTGCAACGATAGCCAGAAAAGCGCCATTGGGGGAAGGTATGAGTTGGCGAATTTGTTCGTAAACCGGAACTGTCAAGACCTGATGGTTTGTCAGTCATATATTATAAAAGTAGCTAATTCCGCAACGTAATTTCCCATACTCTGTAGTGTACACTGTCGCTAGCATCCGACTTTCCTTCTGTGTCTTCTTTCTGATCGGGAGTGCCTTTCCTTGATCTTGTCTGCTGCTGCCATTCGTTCTTCAATCGCGTTAGGCTCGACCAACGGATCTGGTTGTCGACCACAGTAAACGCTTCGTTTCCTCTCCTTGCCAATATGCGATTTGGTCCAGCGTAGTCACTTTCTTGCCGAAGCTTGCCTGAGATATTCTCTGGAGCTTTCGGAGCTGTGCTTGAAAACAAGGCGGCTCCGGGAGAAGGGCGTGAGAGCCATGGAGGTGTGTAACTGATCACTTTCGGCATTGTTGAAGCATTTATTCCAAACAGAAGCTGAATTCGATGCTAAACTTCCATTCCCTGCCGGCGACAAGGCTATGAAATGTAGGAATGTCAGTGCTGGGGATAAAGGCGGGAGAATGCGCCAGTAACAAAACAGTGCCTGGGGAAATTTTGGTGGAAGTACACTAGACGACGGGTGCGCCAAGAACAGCGTAAGTTTCCGTGGACAAGCTCCAATGGTGAGCTTTCCTTGACTGCATCTCCAACAACCTCCTGCGCTCAACTTGCTCCTTCATTGTCTTCAGTTGTTCTTCTTCTTTGCCTATCCTAATCGTAACTCTTACCCAATTGTCATCAAATCACTATCTTTTTTTCCCTCCACAATGACCGTATCACCACGCAACACCGTGGATAGACTCGATCGGCCAAGCGCCTACTACCTGGGAAAGGTATAGCTTCATAGAGCCCTTCAATGGCAACCGACTGGTTCGCGAAAATCACTAATGTGTCTCGTATGTATCCAGAACAAGAAGCGCAAGTACAGCCAAGATGAACCGGAAAAGGTTCCAGAAGACCCATCGGACAACTTGAAAAATGCTACCACTCTTTATGTTGGTAATCTGTATGTCCCTTGCCTCGCAGACACCTCACCATTGGCCTCTCTTCATATACTAACTATAGTAGTTCTTTCTACACAACAGAGGAACAGATCCATGAACTCTTCTCAAAGTCAGATACCACGCAACGACCGTGCTGAAGTCCGCGTGCTAACTGATAGACTCAGATGCGGAGAGGTTAAACGACTTGTGATGGGGCTCGACCGATATACGAAGACCCCCTGTGGCTTCTGCTTCGTCGAGTATTATACACATCAAGATGCGTTGGATTGCTTGAAATACGTTGGCGGCACCAAGCTCGATGAGAGGATTATCCGGACGGACCTTGACCCTGGTTTCGAAGAAGGGAGACAATACGGGTATGTAGAGAGACTCTCAATTCTCAAAGGCAAAGCTGTTTCTGATATGATTGCAGTCGCGGTAAATCTGGTGGCCAGGTTCGCGATGAATACCGGGAAGAGTACGACCCAGGACGTGGCGGTTATGGGCGGGCTTATGCAGATGATCAGAGACAACGGGAAGAAGAAGAATACGGTAAGGGTAGGTAATCTTGATGGGTTTTGTCTGGTTGGCGCATGTACGGCGTTTGCATGCATTATATCTCTTTGATTTAGTAGAAGGAACGGCAGCAACAAAAGAATATTTACATCCGATACCCCATCTATCGACGAACCTTTCTATACAAAATCTTTCTATAATGCAAAGCATTCAATAACGTTGCTCTGTCCCCTTCCTCCTTTTCACGGACTCCTCCACTTGGCGCAGCCACCATGCATGTATCCGGGTGTCGCCAGTGAGCTCAGGATGGAAGCTCGTCCCGAAAACATTTCCCTGTTTGACAGCAATGATATCTCCAGCTTCTTTGTCTGCGTCGATGTTCCTCCCCTCACTAGCCAGTTTAGCGGCTCTGCCTGGAAGTGTGGCCAGCACTTCAACCTGCGTTGCGATTGCGTCCAGAGCCGCCTGACCTTTTGCGTGCTTTGAAGGCGCTACGACGGTCTCGTCTCTTTGAACTTCGCTTATTTGGATACCCTCTTCGTGTGGCAATATCTTCTCGACAACAGGTGCTCTGATGAAAACAGCTGGGAAAGAAGGCTGGTCTTTTCCGCAAGAGTTTAGGAATGGCAGGTCCAATGGCGCTTGGAAACTCTCAGTTTGCCGACCAAAGTGGTTTCTATTTACGCGCACATCTAAACCTCCGATAAGCTCTTGGCCGCCCTTCTTTGTCCGGTTGGCGGACTCAGCAAGCAAAATCAACCCGGCACAGGTTCCCCAAGTTGGCTTGCGATGGACCCTACCGAGGAGAAATGGTTAGTCTTGGGCAGCAGAGCAGGCTTTCTGGGGTACATACTTTACGAAATCTCTCAGGGGCTCTAGAAGATTGGACCTAGCTGCGACAAGAGAGATAGTAGTGCTCTCGCCACCAGGCAAGATAAGCGCATCGCATCTATCCAATTCCTGCGGGGTTCGCACTTCAATGAACTCCCATTGCGGTGAACTGTTGGTCTCTGTCGCTGAATCAGCTGCTGCCTGTTTCAGCAGCTGGACATGCTCGTAGAATGCGCCCTGCAAGGCGAGAACCCCAACGGTGATGCTCATTTCAATGCGGTATAATTCATAGAAAATGAGTCAAATGTTGGCCAGTTACGGCTTCTACATATAGCCGGAACAACATATATCCGAGCTATCTCCACGTGCTGCCCCGCATGATAAGACGTTCCTGCACGGTGATCAGTCTGGAAAACGTGACCTCAGCTTATTCTGAATGGAGACTTTATGAATCTGTTTCTAGTTGCATGTTCTGTGGAACAAGAGGACAATTCAGGTATTCGTTTATAACCATGGATTTATGATGGTGGCTGAGCTATTTTACTATTTACTCTACTCAATACTGTGTATACTCCATAAATAAACATTCCCCGCACCGAAATCAGTTTATCAACAAAAGCTGCTCTACATACGTCTCACCACCCCGCTTCATAATACTCCATATAATACGTCTTAAACATGCAACCATCACAGGATGAGTCCAACAATTCCATGGTACGGTGGTATATCGATACTCGGGGCCTAACAGCGACTACCTCATCGCTCCCTCTACTGGAAACACTCCAGCCATCAGACCAGGAGTCGGCCAAACGCTTCTATCACCTGAAAGACAAGCATATGTCCCTTGCGTCCAATCTCCTGAAATATCTGTTTATCCACCGAACATGTCGCATTCCATGGAACCAAATTACCATCAGCCGAACGCCAGCACCGCATCATCGACCGTACTTCAACCCTGCAGACATCACCCAAACTGCAGCTACAGACAAGCCGATTCCAAGCATTGAATTCAACGTCAGCCATCAAGCATCCCTGGTAGCTCTCGCAGGGACTATTCTGCCGCCACCAAGCAACAATGACTCGACTGCGCCTACCAATGTTATTACAAACCCCAATCCCACCTCTACACCCTCCTCATCCATACCCCAGGTAGGAATAGACATTACCTGCGTGGACGAGCGCCGCAACACCGCGCACACTAGACAAGCGTTAGAAGAGTTCGTCAGTATCTTCTCTGAAGTGTTCTCCCAGCGCGAGCTGGATACCATCAAAAGCCTGCATGGGGCACCTTCACATATCGGCAACGACGAGGACGGCCTTGTGGAATATGGGTTCCGGTTGTTCTACACTTACTGGGCGTTGAAAGAAGCATATATAAAGATGACAGGGGAGGCGTTATTGGCGCCGTGGTTGAAAGAATTGGTCTTCACGAACGTTGTTGCGCCGGAGCCCGCAGGCCGGGACTTGCAAACCTTGGGTGAGCCGTATACTGGGGTCAAAACATGGCTGTATGGAAAGGAGGTGGATGATGTGAGAGTTGAGGTCATTGCATTTGAGAAGAATTATCTTATTGCTACTGCAGCTAGAGGGGGTAGGATTGGGCGGGGAAGTGGAGGAGGTGGTGCAGATCCATGGCAGCAGTTGCAGAAGATTGACATTGAGGAAGATGTTAGACCTTGCGCAACGGGTGTTTGCCAATGCTTGAAGTAGCTCTTGTTTCGCCCCCTCTAACGTCGTGCCAAAATCCTACGTTTATATAAACATGCACGTAAGGTTTGAACAGCAAGTGGATATGTTCTATTGATCTGGTAGCCTACATACAGAATTGGTCCAGGATATACAGCGGGAGGAACCCCGGTAGTCCTGAACGGATGGCATTATATACACCTTGGGGG